CAAGTTATTGCTCTATTCATTCTATATTTCTGTGCATGTTCATTTGTAGGTTTCAAGAATATTGTCATTTGTGCCATCGTTTTTTGTGAGAATTAAATATTGTAGAGACACTATGTTGCTTTTACAATGAATGTCCTAATGGACTGGGCACCATGTAGAATAACTGAATATGATAGGTTAAACAGAGAGTATTAACATAGTTTGGAAAATAAACAACACGGTGAGGCATCACTTAGTGTCTTGATTCAAAAACAATCTAAAAGCAGGAAACATCGTGTGCATTTCAATTTTGATGAATTAGAAGCTGACTGATATACTATTAAGGAGAATATTTTTGGTTTCACCACAGTGGTAAAAGTAAATTTGGGCATGACAACTTGGCAGACAAGATGCCATAGATAGGTTGGTTAAATGATCTTGACATTCTCTACAGGTGACAATGGCTGCACTTGGTGAGCTGTTTCAAGCAGCACGTGGTATAATGGTTTGGCTTGGTGACTGTGCCAAGGTTTGTAAGATTTGCATCTTAAACTATATGATGCGATTAAGATCGTTGAGTTGATAAATGGAAATTTGGCAGGTGATTGCTTCAGAAAACCAACCTGTGCGCTGGACAACGCCACTGGGTCTCCCAGTTGTGCAACCATACTTTAAATCTCAGCGGCACATTGTAAGTGTTTGATTAATTTGGCCCCTTTAAACCTAATTAAATCTGCCACTTAGTGCAACTTCCTGATGTGATATGTTTGACTGGCACAAGTGAGTGATTCTGCATCATGTTTGTAAATTATTAATTTAAGGAGGACGGCACCTCATTTTGACTAAAAAATGGATGACTAATCGATTATCTTCCATTAATGACTTACAAAGTGTGCGAAGATATTCAATAGCATTTCAAGAATTTGTATGATTTTACCTGCATAAACCTTGATAGACAGCGCATTAGCACCAGGTTTTTAATTGACCTGATCAAGAAAAGTGAGTTGCTCCCTCTGAAGTGGCCTTTGTGTTCTGTCTTTAAAGAAGAAACTATCTAGAGGTCAATGCTTCATGTTTCAGCCCTGTGGAGTCATTTCCTTACTGTAATTCAGTGACTATGTGGTTACCAGTTCTTTCTCCATGTGCAGATAAAAACTTCGCTTCAGGTTCTGGCATTGCAGCGTGAGGGTGATTCAGTATGTTTTCTTTTCCAAAGAATAAGTTGGACACCTTGATGACGTATTTCTGAGTTCAGTATTCAATTTTAAGATTATAATGAATAGATTACTATCTTGTACTCTAGGTTGAGGCTAGAAAACAGAGAACTGCTTTTCCTCCAAATTTTGTGCACTCATTGGATAGTACTCACATGATGATGACCGCAATTGCTTGTAGAGATTCTGGATTGCAATTTGCAGGTATGTTCTCAAGGCCTCCAAAGTATATATCTTATTGGCTCTGTGATAGATTAGCCCTGTTTACTGATTGTTATCCTGAAGGTTTTGGGGATGTGTTTAGATACTCTGTCAAACTTGGTGTTAAATTTCCTGTTACACCATCTATTAGAGTGACACTTGTTCCTTTGTTCAATATCCACAAATGTTGGTGGATATCGGACTTACTGATATTAAATGAGGGGATGAGTGCCACCCTAATATATGGTGTAAAAGGGAGTAACACCAAGAGTGTTACAGAATATCAAGAGCTGAATATCTACCTTAATGTTTTCTAGTTCTTGGAACAAGATCACAGTAAGGTAAGGATTAACAACTCTAGAATAAGAGCTGAGTAATCACGTGGGTTGCACATTTTAAGTTCCAATTTCCATGTGAATCACTCTACATTAGACTTTTAATCCTTTATCTGCCATTCCCAGTTGTCAACCATTAAGGTAAACATTTCCAAGTTTAATGCTGTTTTCCAGGGTTTAAGATAATGACGATCATTAGATTAAAATTATAGTTGGAACAAAACTAACACGAATCAAGAGCAACGCAATATAGTGAACAGATGGATGCAAAAAAAGAGGGACATAAAATTATTATCAAGAAGTAGAAGCAACTGTTTTTGGTAGTAGCTTCAATATTGCTAGCCATGGAGAACTAGGAGATATATGAGTTGTGGGTTCAAGCTCAGTGGTCATATACAAGTAGGACATCAAGCATAATCAAATGATAGTCCAGCATAATGCAGCAGTCAAATTGAGAAGTTTGCATGATTGCTATTAGACCAGCATGCTTCGGATGATTTAAAAAAAAAAAATCGCTTGTTCAACAAGTTATGTTATAAAAATCATGGTCTCCAAAGATCTCGTGTGATGCCCCTGCTTTGACTATGGCTATTACACAGTTGTGCTTTGAAGAACAAAGATGAGTTTGTTAGGCAAGTTATGTGAATATAATAAGTCCAGAAAAGTATGCGTTCTGATATATTTGCAACAATACAAGAAAAGCTACAATTAGTATTAAGTACTTTTTTGAGATGGTTATAGTTGTAGAGAGAGTGACATATAAATGCCTGCAAACAAAAGCTAAGGCATGGCCTGTTATTGTGGGAGAAATAGTAACTACTCTTAACTGAAGAATCTCTATATGAATAGAAAAGCAAAGTGGTGGTGTAACAATATCTTTTGTGTGCTTAACTGAAATACAAGACTTATCTATGCAATTGTAATAGTTAAGGAAAAGGATACTACGCTTTGAATATGCGGATTACATTCTGGGAATATCATGATTTCCGGTCTTGATATGACAAATGTCAAATGGTGAAAAAGATTCTGTAAATGCTGCAGGATTAAAAATGAGTGTCAAAATTAAGAAGTCTTGGAATTTTCTCCTTGATGACTTGCAACATGAATGGATGCTTACAGAGAACTTCTGAGTTCATTTAATACCAAAACTTTAAACTTCTGTTGATACAAGGCACAATACAAGATTGAGCAAGAACAATGTTATCCTGTTTGCATATATCATGCAAAGATGATGGGCTTAGTCCTAAATGCTCACCAGTGATATCAGATAAAGGGTAGAGGATGCAGATAAAGAAAGATTCATCAGTCACTGCAACTGCCAAATTTGTGGTAAAAGTCAAAGGTTAGAAAACAAGACAAAATAAACTAAGCTAAAGGTAAAAGTCAAAGGTTAGAAAACAAGACAAAATAAACTAAGCTAAAAATGAAGTGAATATAAACTACATAAATAGCAAATGAGACAATTGAAAAATGCTCAGGAGGCTCACTCACTGTATGAGTTTTCGAGATTGACAAGTTCTTAATGGCTTTCAGTTTGTTTTTAGGTTTGGATTTTCTTTGATTTATATCTTGTGAGATAATCCTAACCTCTATTTCTAAACAGTGGAACTCTTTGCTTACTACATTCCAAAATATGGCAATCGAAAAGTTTGTAGTTTGGCAAATAATTTCAAGGCTTCATTCATACTAGTTAAAAGAACAGGTTATGTTCAGGAATGCTTGAATCTCTTAAAAAGTGTAATTGCAGGGGTACATGATTCCTTTTGGACACATGCGTGTGATGTTGACAAGATGAACCAGATACTGAGAGAGAAATTTGTGGAGCTTTATAGCATGCCAATACTCGAAAATGTAAGCATGTTAGAGGTTTACATATCTTGTTTGCTGAGATTGCTACATATCTTTTCCCTTGTGAGTTTGCTCACTTTTTGGTGACCATGCATAACGAGCCTTGTCCATAAGACTGGTGTCTATCATCTGAGTTGAAGTAGTTCATCGTGTAATGTAGCAGTAGGCTGAATGATGCTTTACTCTACTAATGCAGCATCTTGTTTTCAGAGTGGAATATTGTGATTCTAAGAATGAAATTGGTGAGAAAAAATTATATGTTGTTCATATTATTTAGGATGGAATTTGCTTTTATAAACAAATTTCTTTTGTTTTACTTCCGAATACTTTCTGGTAATCTTCTGATTATGTCAGCAGTTGCTTGAAAACTTCCATACATCATATCCAACATTGACCTTTCCTGCTCTACCAAAAAGAGGTAACTTTGACTTGCGTGAAGTACTCAAATCACCATACTTCTTCAACTGAGGGGTTGAAATGAAACTGGACCTTGTATGTGGGAGAAAGCTCAAATGGAGCAACAACTGCCCATATAGAAAACCGGGGGCATGCCAGACAGTGACATGTGAATAATCAGGGAATTTAATTGGGGACATAGTGGTGATCCTCTTATCTCCTGAAGGAGATCTGCATTTCTTCCTTCTATGCAGCAGATGCTAAATCCCTATGTCAAACTGGATTGGTTCTTAAACTCAGCAGGGATACTGCTGACAGCTATGACACAAAGAATTGGTGATTCCATAAGTGGGGAGGATGAGCTTTAGTTTCATGTACTTCAGGTTCCCTAAAGAGAATTGCTGGCTTTCTCGCATACATGCAAGTATATTGAAACTTGTAGCACATGACTGCTGTAAGCACAGAAGAGCTTTGCGTGTACGGAGGCAAATGGAGCAAAACTTTTTTGACAACAAATCAACTTTCATCAACTGTCATTGATCCACCATGTTTTGTATTCTGTTGGTCCTGCAATGAGATAACCAGGGAATGGAGCAAATGAGCAAGAAAAATGCCTCCGGTTGTGCTTTTGACGGCTTGAAGCTGGTGGTTCAAGAATCAGGTTTGATGTTGCAAGTGCTGTATAGCTATCCTGACTGACCATTATTTATCATTACTTACCATGCTGCTGTAGTATAGGAATAACAAATGCAGTAATCCTATAGCACTAAATCATACTCTGTATCTTTAGATGTTTAGAAAGAATTCATTGGTTGCAGTAATTCTATAGCACTAAAACGTATCTGTCACTTGAGATGTTTATAGAAAGAAATCATTGATACCATTTATTGTGCTGCTTTTTTTGTTCAAGCGTACTAATCTATTTGTGTCCTGTAGTAGTGCTTGGGCTAGATTTTCTTCATCATAATATCCAAGCAGGCTTTCGAGGAATTCAGATTGAGAGAAAACAGCATTGTTTGATCACAGATTGTGATGCAGTCAATTATTTAAATGGAACAGCCCAATGATCTCTTTAGCCATGCAAAACTAGCTATTCAGGAGGCATGAATTTAGCAGTAATTCTTGATTTTCAATTATATCCTTTCGAGTGGACCTGTATTTTTCGTTTCAGAGTTAAAGACACTTTTAGACCTGGTCTGCTCCTCTGAGAGGGCATTAACAAGATTGTATTATCATTGTTGAATTAAACTTTGAACTTGAAAAGCAGAAACAGCATACACATGAACATGATAAATAACCCATAATATATCAAGAATAACCAAGTGCAAAAGAATCTCCATTCATATAGAAGAAAAACAAGGCAAAGTAGTGCTTTTTAGTTATCAAGATAGCAAAAGAAACCTCAATGTATGTGCCTAATCAACTGTAATATCTTAAACTGCACGCATAATTTCACAACATCTCCTGAGACATCCTAACACAACGCTTCACTCTCTTCTTGAATTGGTCTCTCTGGCCTCTCCACTCCTTTGCAGCATCCACATTCGCAGGAGACTCGTCGTTCGGGCTAGAAAGCATCGATATGATGCTCAGGACTATGCTTTCAACGGTATGAAGGGGGTTCCAGCGCTCAGTTGCATGCTCATAGCCGTATGGATCATCACCGGGCGGATGAAGAATCGACATGCAAACTTTTCCATCAGGATATACGTTTGGATGCCATATCTCCGATGTAAATTTCACTGCTGGAGGGCTGACGGGGTAATCCTTTGGAAAGCTTATAATGGCATTAAAATAGCCTTCATCGTAGAGTGAACCAGGAGGCCCCATGATGGTAACACTCCATTCAAACATATTGCTCTCATCCACCAAACCCGCTGAGAATCCTTCTATCGGATTCCTGCAAAGATCTTTGAGCTGTTTTTGAAGCAGAAGGCTTGCTTGTGAAGGAGGAGCTGCCTGTGGCTCCATGACAAAGCCAATAGAGAAGAACAGTAGAAAAGAGAGAGGATATTTTAAGGTTACAGCCAATGAGGGTTTTCTAATATATCACTAAATTTTTTCGAATATTTAGAAACCCGAAAAAGGAGGACAACGAAGAGGAAATTTGTAAAAGACGTGAGATAACTCTACCAAGTTAATTACGTAGCATGTTTTATAAGCATATGCAAAAACAACTTTCTTCCCGAGAACTGATGTTAATTCCCTTATTATAGAGGATTAGTTAAATATAACGAGACTTCTAATACAAAGAGGCAAAAGAGCCAATGATGAAGCAAACAAACAAACTTAATTTTTTCCTTCCTGGAAACGGGTAAATGAAGGAAAGCTTGATCCTATTCCAAATCAAGAAATGAATGCTCCTTACAGGAATGTTAATTCAATTGTTCGACACTCCGAATCCAAATTGGGAACTCAAATAATTAAGAAACAACTTTGCAAAGGTGTATACCATGGTTCAAAGTCATGGCCCAAACCGTTCGACATCTGTCTCGGCATATCGGTAGTAGTCTCAACAAGACACAAATTTTGAAATATTTAATATTCTAAAAATTGTGAATAGCATAAAAAAATATGCTAAACAAAAATAATAAAAATTAATAAAAGAAAATCTGTAAAATGTACTATTTTTATACATATTAAACACAATAAGCATCTTTCATCATGTAATATAATGGCATCACAAACAGAATCAAGATAGCACAAAACACAATTTTAAAACTAATAATTGCAAAAGTAATATTAACCATTAACAATACAAAATAAGGATTTATTTTTGATACAAGTTGAAATGACTTCACTTATTTCATGATCAATCTCCGATCAAAAATAAAAAGGAATCATATTAAACAAAAGGCAAACATCTAAAAAGATATGCTATTACTTTATATTTTCGTACCTGTTAATATCAAGATAGAAAGACGATATGGTTCAAAATCACTCTCATTTTCAGATGAATGGTAAAACAGATGTGGAATGCCTTTGTTGTTTTCGACAAATTGCAAGTATTGGCTCTCTCTAATTGCTTGATTCATCTGTTTTTTTTTTTTCCAACACCATCCTACTTTCTTCATCAATTTCAAGGACGTCTTCGTCATCATCGTCGCTAACTATGTTGACATTACTATATATATTTTCTTGTTGCAGAGAGTTCAATATTTCTTCTTTTTTTTTTCTTTTTTTACTGTAGCTCTTTGAGCCTTAGCAGCCTTTAGATGCATTTTTATTACATCTATTCTCATGGTGCCCTTGGACATGCTTCAACTTGTCCTCTGACATAACCGACATGCTCTTTCAATCTTGTAATGTCACAATGCATTATTTTTTCACAATAATTGCATCTCACAAATTTTCTATTCCCACCCACAGGTGTATCATGTTCCCAACCAATATCCTTGCTCGTCATTGTAACTGTTCCAAGTATCAATACAAATGATTAATCCATCACAAAATATTTAAAGATATATGAAAAAATACAACAAGTAGTTCAAGACATTTTATAATAGTAATAATTTATTTCTATTATATTAGTAAGTTAAAAATCTTATTTATAATGTAAGCTAGCTATAATGATCATTTGTTCATTTTTTTAAAGAAATTTTTTGTAAAGTTTAAATGTTTATTAAAATTATTAGTGCATTTTATGAAATTATTCAAATAGCTGAAGCGTTATGATTATAAGTAATTATTCATTACAATTCATTTGTTATATATGGAGGCTATAACCAGTGTTGTAGGTAGTTATAATAACTATAAAAGTCAATAAAAATAGAAGTTTTAGTAATAAATATATTGTATAATTTATTACCATTATAGCTAAAAAAAAGTCAATAAAGATGAAACTTCTACTAACAGCTATCTCATAAAATTGATTACCAGTAAGAAAATTTCTATTAAAAGATATAACAGATATTTTAATATTTTTACTAAATATCAAATGAATTTGGACTAATCTATTATATACTTTGAATTATATGTGAGATAAGTGTTAAGCTTGTGTTTGACCCAAAATAAATTTCAACAACACAAATTAGTCAGATAAATCTAAATTCCTAAATATTATTTTGGACACAATCGAAATTAATTCAACCTTGGCTCATTACATAAGGGCCACAATTAATCCAAATACGTTTCTAATTCATACCTACTAATAAGTAAAAAAAAATTAAAGAAATAAATCAATCGGGCCAAACCCAATTGAGATAGATGTCCATGATTTTAACCCCAAACTTTTCTATAAGAGAAAATACAGATAGGAAAAATGTTTATCTATATAAACAATGGAGCAACGTTCAACCACAAAAAGAACTCACCGAGTATAGATCAAATTCTTAGTATTTCTGAACTTTTCTCCTCTTTGAAGCTTTGGACCTAAATTTCAGACACTTTTCCTGAAGTTTAGCATCCAAATAATGCGTTCATGAAAGAAAGTTTCACCAAATTTCACCTCTCCTCTACTGAAGTTTTGGCCATCTTCTCCTTTACACCTCCTTCTCTCACTTTTTTTCACTTTGTATGGCTGCAGTTTTCGAGAGAAAAGTAAAGTGGTAGCTTTCTTTGATTTGATTTTTCGTTCTATTGTTGTTTTGGATTGCAAATTATTGATGAATTTCACTGTTGAGTCTTTTATTTCCTCTGTATTTTGGTCTTTTGTGCGTGGGTTGTCAGATACAGCAATTGTTTTTCTCTTTTTTTCTAATATAACAATTTCATCTCTTTTTTTTTTTGTTTTTTTCTGTTGGTTTTTGGTTGGATTCAAGTTAACTCAGTGTGATTCGATCGTTTCTATCCAAGTTAGAGACTTCTCAGCTGAGTTCTTGGTAATCCATGTATCTTAGGAATTATTTCGTCTCGGTATTAGAATGGAGAGCTCCGTTTCAGTGTTGACTCGGCTGGGTTTTTGAACTTATAATCAAAAGAACTTAAAATCAATCCAAAAGAAAACTAAAAGAACTTATAATCAATCCAAGGAAACTTACAACCTTCCTCAAAAATACAATTTTGAATCCATTAACATTAGAAGGTGCAAAAACAGCAGGCTAGTAAAGTTGATGGAGACGAAGAGAGCTTGTATGGCAGAGATAAAAAAGGTTTGAGTCCAAAATTCAAGTATTCAGATGGAATGCAAAGATTCCAGAGCCTAGAAAAAATGAATAAATTGCTAGAGGTTAAAAATGATTCTTGTCCTAGATCAGGTTGTGCAGTGTCTGTATAAATTGGTGCTTGCTCAATTGGATATATCTTCTGTCGAACTTTGGCTGGTGGAACAGCTAATAGAAACAGTAGTCTGCCGTTCTTTCCTGGATAGTGGCTACTTCTTAATGATTTGTATATAGGGACAAATATGCACGTAGTTCGTGGGTCAAAGCTAGTTAGTGATCTGATCTCTGACTATCTAGATTCAGCTCTGGGTACTCTATTATACTTGTTTTGTTTCACATCCGCATTACACCATGTTTTAAGATGGCATTTGTCCCTTAATGCATGGTGTAGTCTTTATATCTGGAAGCGGTTTCTGAAAAAACCAAGGAGATAATGCAGACATAGGAGGCAAATCTGTTGGTAACTTATCCAGAAACATGAATCCTCTCATCATAGGTGGTTGCTACCATGATTTCTTACACTACTCTAAGCTCTTTCTCGGGGAGTATAAACTTTTCATGCATCCTAAGTTCATTTTGGCCCACAAGTTCAAATTGCGAATGAATTTCAGCATTGATAATGGGGCATTATTGCCCTGGATCTTTTCTCCCACTTCCTACTCCACTCCTTATCCCATCTTCTATCATCTTGCCATGTATCCTTCATAAACATCCCATTTATAATTTATTTCTCTCCCCGTTTTTAGGAATCCAAAACAAGTCATGACTACTCAGAGTTAGTATATTCATTACATCACATAACTTTGTGCACGAAAAATCCACTCCGTATCCTACTACATCATTATAAATAGACATCCTCAAAGAAATTATTAGCCTTGAACAGGAAGCTCACAAGAATAGCAGAAAATAAATTGCAGACATGTTGTGCATGATCACGAGAGGAGAAGCAGGCAATTAAATAACTATGCCTCCACTCATAAGAATTAAAGTACAAAAGCTATCTGCATTCAAGTATAAACATGTAACATAATCAGCTAGGGTGGAATTATATTTATTTTAGTATCAATGCTAAGTTGACACTGAGGCGCCAAAGGGTAGGGGACGCTTCCTGCATCTCACATAAACTCTTTCAGCACTTTTAATTAAAAGTTTTGGAACCTATTGATACTTCTGTAGATGTCTTTGCATGTTTGTAGCCCTAGGCAAGGAATGGCAGAAAAATAGCAGAATCCAAACATCAATTCTACAGCTTAGCATTTCCAATATGCACTTCAACTTATCTACCAAAGTTGAATGTTATTTCAGAAGGTTCATGGCATCATAGAAAAGGCGTAAAAGAAGCAAACATTAAAGGATAGGAAACTTTATGATGACTATACAACAAATAAGAGGATTAAAAAAAAAACTACATATGGTACGAAGAAAATGTGTATATGGCATGCCTACTTACAACAAATTCAGTGTTATATCACAGCTTAGGTTTTTGTTGCAGAAGAGAATAAGAGAAGAGATAGAGCAACCACAGTGAGTAGTGTCCATTTGCCTCATTAATTAGATAGTCCTGTCTGCTTCATCCACAAAGACCACTTGACAGCTTCTAGAAACATATCGTTCTTTTGCAGTGCATTGATCAGATTATAATAGGTTATTCGGTCAGGTTTTATACCATTTTCTCTCATCTCTTTAACCAAAGCAACAGCCTCTTCAACCATTCCTGCAATTCCATATGCTTTTATTAATGTGTTATAACCGCATAAATCAAGCCCAAGTGCAAATTGTTTCAGTTCCATCAGAATGCCAGACACTTCTTCAATCCATCCTTGCTCTCCATATATATTAATCATTATATTGTATGTGTAGGAATCTGAAACACAGCTAGATTCCTTCATTCTCTGCAAGACATTTCTGAATTTCTCCATTTCACCTTCTTTCCCATAGGCATCCAACATACAGTTATAGGCTTCAAGGGAAACTGAAAAGCCATTAAATTGCATTTTTTTCACAGTAGATGACATATTCTTCAAGTCCTTATGCTGCCCATATGCAGCTATCATTGTATTGTAAGAGATAGCATCAATTAGACCTCGCTTTTTAGCCATCCAAAATACTTTCCTTGCCCTCTTGAATAGCCCAGATTTTCCATAAACATCAAGCATCACATTAAAAGTGACAGTATTAGGAGCAAACCCATGTCGAAGCATCTCATCAAGAACTTTTGAGAGTTCATCAACTGGCAAAGCACGAGCACAGCAGTTTAACACACAGTTGTACAATTCCTGATCCCATATGATTCCACTTTTCAAGGTTTTGTAGTAAAGACCTTGCAATTTATCGAGCATACCACACTGTTGATAAATTCGGAACATATCTCTAAGCAGATAAACATCTGGAACAATGTTCGTCTGTTTGTCCATTACATCAAGAACTATGCATGCCTTCTCTAAACAGCCAGATTTCACATACATTCTGACTACAACACTGAAAGTTATCATGTC